CTCTTTGTAGAGTAAATCTGTTGACATCTCATAAAACTACAAATGCACACAACCCTGTAAATCTAGAAACTACACTCGGTTATCTAACTAGATGATTTTAGCAAATACGTACAGAGACCTGCGTAAGAATGTTACTAGACTTTGTAAAAGCAACAAATAAGGAACAACTTAAACATCATCAGAAGGGGGAACTGTGGTGTAATCCATGCCACAGAAATACACCACAACATGTATAGGCATGTGCTACATCTCCACAAATACACGGTCCGACACAAAAATACTTTAAAAAGAATGACAGAATGTTTAGCATGATAACGTTCCTGAAAATTAAACAAAAACCAAAATGTCACTAGTTGTTCAAAGATGTAAATATGTATATTTTAAGTATAGGAAATGTTCCAAAAGGATATGCCCAAATTGAGAAAAGAGAGAAATGAGAATAGGGACAAAAACTTCCAACTTTCTCAACTCACGAAGGACCTTACAGCAACAAACACCGTAAGCGGCAGCTTCAATAAGAAGCAAAGATAGCCTAAATGACATCCTTCCCATGGAAGCCACTATAGTTTAGAGTCCAAATGATGCTTTACAAACAAGACATGTTGAATAAGTTTATGTTTCCATATTTAAAGACAAGAATTTCCATCAAAATGTTCTCTTAAAAGGCAGTACAGGAGAGCTGGAAGAACATCTCCTAGGCCTCAACTTTATCTGAAAGTCATGATTATTTTTGGGTACATTAGTTTTGATTCAAAGTATTAAAACTTTATATTACATTTGAGTAATCCATTTGACCCTGACAACCCAAGTTTTCATTGGGAAATAGTACTAGTTTAGATTGACATTACTTTTGAGGTAGTCATGCATCACTTAATGATGGGGATATGCTCTGAGAAATGCACTGTTAGGTCATTTCATCAGTGTGTGGACATCAGAATGCACTTAGAAAAACCTAGATGGGTGTATCCCATGACACACCTAGCCTATGTTATATACCCTACTGCTTGCTCCTGGGCTATAATCCTGTATAGCACATCAGTGTACTGAACACTGCAGGCAACTGTAAAACAATGGTTATTTGTTGTATCTAAACACAGAAAAGGAAATTTTCAGCTTTACTATAATCTTATGGAAGATTATAATAAATAATCTTGTTGTATATGCAGTCCATCATTAACCAAATGTCACTATCTGGAATTGCTGCCAAGGTGGCTCAATTCTACTTTACTTTCTGTTGTGTTCAGGCTCCACCTAGTGGCTCAGAAGACTGCCTCCCCCTACTTCTTTAGCAATTAAATACATTTCAACCTAACATTTTATTTACTTGCCATGAGAATATCATAACTTTTTTTTTTTTTTTTTTTTTTTTAGCTATTAAACAAATTTCTCCTGGGGGAAAAACTTCATGGCAAAAAAAGAAAACGCCTCCAACCAATGCATTAAAATCTACAGATTAAGATATTTGAAGACTGTCTAAAATGTTTCTCCATTTTCCTTGTTTTTGCCACTTGTACATCTCAGTGTAAGCGTTCTGCATTCCATTTTCATCATTTATTGTGGCCTTTCCATATCTGGGATTTAATCTGCAATATAAAGCTAATAGTAATATCTCACTGAGTGGTCAGAGGACTAAATGAGTTAATATATACACTATTTTGTAAAGTACCTAAAACTTTATTTTTTGAGACAGAGTCTCACCACTTTCACCCAGGCTAAAGTACAGTGGTGTGATTTTGGCTCACTGCAACCTCCTCCTCCCAGGTTCAAGTGATTCTCCTGCCTCAGCCTCCCAAGTAGCTGGGACTATAGGCACCTGCCACCACACCCAGCTAACTAACTTTTGTATTTTTAGTAGAGACAGGCTTCACCACGTTGGCCAGGCTGGTCTTGAACACCTGACCTCAGGTGATCAGTCTGCCTCAGCCTCCCTAAGTGTTGGATTACAAGTGTGAGCCAACGCATCCGGCCATATTAATTTATTTTTAAAGACAGGGTCTTGCTCTGTCACCCATGCTGAAGTACAGTGGCACCATGATAGCTCACTGTAACCTCAACCTCTTGGGCTCAAGCAATCCTCCTGCCTCAGCCACCTGAGTAGGTGGCACAACAGCCACCACAAAGGGCTAATGTTTAACTTTTTTGTAGAAATGGGAGTCTCATTATATTGCCCAGGCTAGTCTCAAACTCCTGGCCTTAAGTGATGCTCCTGCCTCAGCCTCCTTAAGTGCTGAGATTACAGGCATAAGCCACAGTACTGGGCCCTAAGACATTTTAAATGCTCAGTATTAACAATTACTCTTTAACAGCCTAGAGTACTGGACACAAAGATGGTGCTTGAGCTAAGCGCATGCTGAGTGAATGAAAGGACGGAATAAATTCTTTGCTGACCTGAGGAAAGTAATCTGGCAGATTCCCACCCCTATCTTTTAAAGCAAACAGGCAGTAGTAAATTAAATAATGGTAAATGCATAAGAAGTTTGAGAACTATTAACAAGACAAAATTCTGAACTAGAAAGCCATGAATGTTATCAATAAGAGAATTAAATGTTTAAGCCCTAATAGTCATTATCCACTTTAATTTTTGATAAGTGACACAAAGTTGAATACCTTGAGTCCCTGTCCTGTAGAACCTTTAGTGAGAGAGGTGTAATCAATGTCATAAAAAAGGTTCTCGGGTAACTCAGAGGTGCCTGTTTTAGACTGGGTGCTAAACTTGTCCTCAGAACAAGCACAGGGTAGGCCCAGAAAAGGGAAGAAACCAGATTCCACTGCAGATGGAGGGAGCAGCAAATCTAAGGAATAGGTGGAAGACAGGAGATGGCAAACTTTTCCATGACACAGGTTATCTTCCAGATGATCCAACTATTAATAGTTGTATTCATAATCAGCCTAAAATTTGGTTTCTTCTCTACATTTCTTTTGTGCCTGCCACCATCCCATTCCAACTGCAATTCTTAACACATTCTACAATATCCAATCTCTTCTTTGAGATTTCTATTTCCATACCCCCGAGTTCAGCAGAGGTATGGAGTAAATCCAATTGGCTGCGTACAATCCTCTGAATACTAGAGCTACCCAAACATACTGCTTATAATTAGAAAAGAACATTTTAAATGTCACCTTACATTTCCCCAGATTTTCCTGGCCAGTGCCATTTTCTAAGAGCAGTTTAAGAGTACTTAATCAAAGGTAACACAGGCCAAAATGAGTGAGTGATGTTTCCTATCTACTAGGTTTAAACTTCTTGTCTCTCTAAACTTGCTCCTTGCTGAAAAAAAAATAGTTGTGACTGTACAAAAAGAACAAATAATGAAAAGGCAAAAGCCAAATGATGTTATAGCATATTATCAACTACCTAGAAGGCCCTAATCATAAATTTTCTTAAAACCATCATTCCAAGATGCCTGCAGACAAAGAAAAAAAAACCACACAAAGAAATGGTACACCAACATGTGCAATATTGTATTCTTCGGGTCACCACACCTTGAGAAATTAGAGTTAGTCAACCTGGAGGAAAAACTAACCCAAATAGTGTGAAAAGCCAACCTGGGGGAGAAACTGACCAAGTAGATAATAAGCACACAAACTACCATAACCATGAGATTCAAATATTTTGAACTATGGAAACAGACTAACACTATTATAGACCAGAAGTCAGACCAAGCAATTCTTACCAAAGATTAAGATTCAAATATTTTATATCACTTTGAGCACACTGGTCTCTGGATATGTAAACATGAACACCTTAGAACACTTAAAATCTTTCATATGTTGATCTTAACTAGGAGAGAAGCTAGTTTAAAAACGTGGTGACATTTGGGGCTGATTACAATGACATGGAAGGAAAACCAAGAATGAAAAATTCCTTGCAGAATCCACAGCTTCCCACAACAAGGAACTGTCCCATTACAGTCAGTAGTGCTCCCAAATTGAGAAATAATGAGTAAATGAACCAGTAAAACTATGAACCGCCAGACGCTTCAAAGTATTAATATATCCACAACCTCAGATTAACTTCAAACTAAAATCATGAGCTATTCCCTTGGAAAAAAAACAAACTCCTTTCCCACATCTATCAGATCGGGAACATGACCCACCCAGGGCTGTCATATAGGTATTAAGAGCTGGGGTCCTTTGACTCCAAGTGCAGTAAATGCTTGATTTTCTGTATCCTATTTAGAAGGCATCCTCATTTAATGTCTCACTCATCTACCACAAAAAATTGCCTGAAAGAGGGGATGCAGAAATGAAGGGGCAAGGAGATTGACTAGAACCCAAAGGACATTGTCTTTTCTGACACTTCTGTGGCCCCCCTGCCTCAAAGTCCAGCTGACTACATAGGGCATACCTCATTAGCACCATTCAACTCTGTAAGTTAAGATCTAACTAAATCATTATTTCCCCTCAAATTAATTCCTTTGAATGTTCCAAAGGATATTAACATACGAAGGAGGGTTCCCTGGGACATCCTCTTGGGGGATGCAATATGCAGTTCCCAAAAATGTGAATACTTAACGTACTTCACTGTACATCTTTTACTAGTATATGATATAAAACTTGGACTTAACACCTATTGGTGATCTGGGATTACTCAGAAGTCATCCAAGTATACCAGCCACTTACAACCTTAGAAAAGATTATTCATTAAAGTAAAACTTTTCTTGACCTGTGACTGCATTTTGGATGGGGAAACACTTCGGTTAATCTTTTTTTAGGTACTCAGATTTGGTAAATTGCAATTCTGGCTAAATTCTGGGCATTTAACCTTGCTGCCAAAATACAAACAATGTCCTGAGAATGGAATTATAAAAACTGAGCTTCCTAAAAATCTAGTACTATAAAGGAACCCAGTGTACTCCCTTAACAAAAACTGGAAGACAGAAACCAGGATGTGTAACTCTTTACTGAAAAGTCTTGCCACATCCGCCTCATCCTCTCTAATCCAAGCTTCAGGAAATTGCATTAAAACAAAAATATACACAGAACAAAACTGAATTGGATACAGTGTTTTTAAAACAAGATCGGAAAAATTTTATTAAAGGAAAATTTTGCATGGTTTACTTTTCACCAGTCTGTTCTGGCATGCTTCTAATGATGTCAGAATCACCTAAAAAATAAAAATACAGTAATTTTACAATTAATTTTAATAGCAACTGGTTCTATAAAATTTCTCTACTTTGGTTATCCGTTCTTAGACAATAGTCTGCAAATTAGCACTGATTTTTTGCAAAAGTTATCACATTAGCTGTACTGTCATTTTTCTTAAGGTTGATCAAATATAACCTAGAATCACAGCCATTATATGATCACACAAAATGATCATACAATAAAATTGGTTTATCACCAGCATTTATAAAACCAAACCTAGTGAAAGAACTAGGTCTGGGGACACACGCATGGTCTTAATATAGCGAATGTTTAGCCTGTCCTGACTATTACAAAATCAGAACAGCGAGAATATTCGCAGTATTCTATGAATCAAAGATTCACAACTGGAAAACAAGATGACGTAGATTTTCAGGCACCTTTTCCCCCCTTTACCTAATTTTACATGTCTGTTCTCAGGAAGAATTACTTTCTTCTGTTTCACTGGATTCTTCTCCCCTTACAATTTCACCTTTTACCATATCTCTAAGTCACTATTTCACATGTACTTCATCAAACGAAATTCATTATCTGACAGTAAAAGTTTTAATTATAAAAGCCAATTATAATGTATTGGCATTTATTACCAATTCTCTACAAAATACAACTACAGGATATGCCTTGCTATATTCATATTCTATTTGAACTTAGGAACAAAAGATTCTTGTGTAATAAGAAATACTTGTCCAGACATTACACAAGAAAGGCAAAAAAAAAAAAAAAAAGACTATGATTTTAAAAGCATACCTGGATCAATGATAGCCAGTGTGCACACTCTGTAGTATTTTCCACATGCTGTGCCCAGTTCAATATTATTGCCACTATAGTGATGGACACCAGTTTTGGCTAACATTGCATAGTACTCTATTTCGGATTTCCTTTGGGAACCAAAAAAAGTCAATAAATAAATGCCATACCAAGTGACTGACAGACTGTTACTACTTCTTTTACTAGTTTTAATGTTGTTAATCAGTAATGTAGTCAATCAGTAACAAAATTATATACTCTTAAAAAACATCATATTCATCATGTATCCCTTACAAGAGAAGGGGCAACCAGCAAATACCTACTCAACCGCATTAAAGGTAGTATCTATGTTCATGGAAGAGGGCAGGATGCAAATAAACAAAAAACCAAAGCATTATTTAGCATTAGTAAGGGCCACATACTTTACATTTCCATGACAATCTTTAAATTAGGTATTATGTAGTCTATTTTTTATTCTTTTAGCTAATGAAACTGAGCCACAGAATAGTAAGTGGAGGATCTAGAATCCAAACCTTTAAAAGATAAACCATTTCTGTCACTATTGCCCCAGTACCCAGAATTCTAGATGGGAAGTGATGCTATTTTAGAGTTAAAATTTCCAGCTGGACGCAGTGGCTCACACCTGTAATCCTAGCACTTTGGGAGGCTGAGGCAGGCGTATCACCTGAAGTCAAGAGTTCAAGATCAGGCTGGCCAACGTGGTGAGACCCTATCTATACTAAAAATACAAAAAAAAAAAAATTAGCCAGGTGTGCGTGGTGCTGCGCACCTGTAATCCCAGCTACTCAGGAGGCTGAGACAGGAGAATTGGTTGAACCTGGGAGGCAGAGGTTGAAGTGAGCCGGAATCATGCCACTGTACTCCAGCCTGGGCAACAAGAGCAAAACTTCGTCTCAAAAAAATATTCTGGACTCACATCCCAGCACTTTGCAAGGCCAGATCACTTGAGGTCAGGAGTTGCTGACCAGCCTGGTCAACATGGTGAAACCACATCTCTACTAAAAATACAAAAACTAGCCAGGCTTGGTGTCAGGCACCTGTAATCCCAGCTACTCAGTAGGCTGAGGCAGGAGAATTGCTTGAACCTGGGAGGCGGAGGTTGTAGTGAGCTGAGATCATGCCATTGCACTCCAGCCTGAGTGACAAGTGACTCCGTCTCTAAATAAATAAATAAATAATTGGGAAATGGTACCTACTCCCTACTCAGTAATGACAGAGAGCAGATTAGTGGGTGCTAAACACACATGCGCGCGCGCACACACACGTACCTCAGGCCCCATCCCGGATCCAATGAAATCAGAACTTTTATATTAACAAGACAACCCATGTGACTTCTTTGCACAGTCACGTTTCAGAAGCCCTACTATAGAAGACAGGCTTTAAAGTAAGTTTCAGGGAATGGTTAGGGAAAAGCCCAAACCACGGGATGGGACAGAAAGGGCATTCCAGGCTTTGACAGGAACTACAGACACCCTATATAAAATGCTATAAGCAGCTTATGCATTACCTCAGGAAATTTGGTCACATGGCTTATATTCTGCAAGATCCGAGTTTCTTGAGCTTATTTAGAATACCCTCTAAATTCAATTTCAAAACAGTGAGTCAAGCATAAACCTTGCCTCAGAACTGATTTAGTGGGCTAAACTGGGTTACTCTATGACAGCCTGCAACTCCACAGCCCAACCTCAACTTTTCTTACCTGGTTTTCTGACACTAAAGTTCACACAATGAAGCATTATTAAAGCACCTCAAAGCTAAAAGAACCAAAAAAGCAGGACACAAAATACACGGAAAAACAAATCATGTGTCCGCGCGTCCATCAAACCTCGATATTCTGTTTTCACTCCTGCCACACACATTTCTCGCCCAAAAATAAGCTCACAGAAGGGGAGCACATGATTTGGGGGTGGGTGGGAGAGACGGGAATGAAGAGCCAAACACCACAATCACTACCGTAATTATCCTGCAAGTGTTCATTTGGAAAACGAGTTTTTCATAACATCCAGTTCATGCCACTTAGATTACAAGTTTACACTCCTGTATACATTCTTTCACAATGAATTCGCGGTAGGCGACGCCCGCTCAGGTTTTTCCGATTACCTCAAAGCTGGGCAGTTGTTAGCGAGAATGACCAATTTCGCTTTGCCTTGTCTGATCATCTTCAGAGTCTGCTTGTACCCCAGCACGTACTTTCCACTTTTCATAACGAGTTGGAGTCTAGAGTTGATCGACTCCAGCGACTTTTTCTACAAAGCAAACATTAAACACGGACCTGAAGGCCTCGTTTGCAACCACCTCACAACTGGACCCAGCTTTTTGAAGCCGACCCCCTTAAACTTCCGAAGTCGAGGGGCCCAAGACATTGAGAGGGCCTATCGGATTCCCTTTGGGGTCCTCCAAACGCCAGTAGGCATGCTGTCACCCCACCGGGCTCACATCTGCCCGCCCCGGCTGAGACTCATCTCTCCACGTGAATCGGCTTCCGGGCCGGGCCCGCCTCACTCACCGTCTTCTTTGCGGCCACCATCTTCCTGCCTTAGGTGCAGGACGGCCCCCAACCTAGAACAGAGAACAAAACAGGAAATTTAGGATCCGAAGTTCCAAATAGCAACCCGCAAAGCCCCCCACACTGTCTAAACCACGGTCGGTAGGAGCCCCACTCACCAAGAGCAAACGCTAAGATGGCCGGGGAGCGAGAAAGGAAAGAGCTCCCACAATGCAAAGCTCTTCATGGCAGAGCCGGAACTCCAGAAGCGGAAGTGGAAAGGATCGCAAGCGGAAAAGGCGGAGCAAAAAGCCGAGAGTTGTTGCCGGTTGCTGTTGATACCGCTGACTGGAATGGCTGCCTGGGGCCGAACGCGGCGGTTCATTCCTCTAATCACAGCGCTTTCAGAGGCCGAGGCGGGAAGTTCTCTTGCGTCCAGCTCTACGCCAGCCTGGGCAACATAGCGAGACCACCCCCTTCTCTGCAAAAAAAATAAATAAATAAATTCGCCCGGCGTGGTGGCGCGCTCCTGTTGTCCCAGCTTCTCCAGAGGCTGTATCAACTATCGCACATCTACTAAGGTCGCACATCTAAGGAGGTCGAGGTTGCAGTGAACCGTGATCGCGTCACTGCACTCAGCCTGGGTGACAGAGTGAGACTCTGTCTCGAAGAAAAAAACAATGGCGGCGGGTGTCTTCGCTTTCCTCCTTTGCGGACCTTAAGCCTCTCGGCGTTGTGTTGCTGTTCTGCTGCGACCTGCAGCCTAACGAATCGAAGAGCGTAGAACCTAGAGGGAGTTGGAAAGGCCGACTGAAAGTGAGGTGGGAAGGTGGATAAGAAGAGGCTGCGGCGGCTGCGACCACGGTCTAAATGCCGCTGAATTCATCTTTGCCTGGAGGCGTGGCTCTCGGAGAGCCTTGTGGATGACTCCGATGGGCCGCAGCACCTGCATTTGCTCTCCGCCTGGTAGAAGCAGTTGTGTCCCCACACCTGCGGTCACCCAAGTTACCGTCCCTTGGCGAACGGTGGCACACTGCGCGAGTTCTCGAAACTCGCTTTCGTAGCTGTGTTAGCGTGAACTTGTGAGCTGAGTTTGCACTGAGAGCGCGATAAACAGGTCTAATTTTTAAAAATCTTTTTGCTGTTAACATTAGATCTTGGTATAAATGTCCAGAGACAGACCACTGAAAATATTAGGCGCTGGAAGCTCGCACCTAATCACCAGCTCCAAAAAAATTTGTATTGTAAAATCAGACCAACGGGTAAGCTGCGTGAGGGAATCTTCCCCTCCTTAAGCCTCACCGAAAAACGTGTGCTGTGCCAGGACCTATGCAACACTATTTATATATATTAATAATCACAAAAGTCCCTTGAGATAGTAACCTTTTTATTGTCCATTTTACATATCTAGGACCAGAGCCCAGGAAACTTAGTCTCTTCACAATTAAAGTTGATTCCGGCTGGAGGTGGTGGTTCACGCCTGTAATCCTAGCACTTTGGGAGGCCTAGGCAGGCGGATCACCTGAGGTCAGGAGTTCGAGACCAGACTGGCCAACATGGTGAAACCCCCGTCTCTACTAAAAAAACACAAAAATCGTTATCATTAAGTGATACATGACTATATATTTGCATAGACACAGAAAAAAGTCTGGAAAACGAATCATCAAAACATATCTGAGAAAGATGAGAAGAGTGGGCAATGAGGAAGGGACCTTTACTTTTTCTTTAGGTTTTTTAGTATGGCTTGAATTATTTTATAGTAAGTATTAATTATTGTTATATAAAAAGTTCATTTTAAATATTAATAATAAAGTGCTCTTTTACAATAAATGTCTCATGAAACATCAATTACACCTCAGTGTAGTATTTTTTCAAAGTGGCTCTCAGATCACCTGCATCAAAATCAATGATTCAAGCTCCTGGACTCCACCTAGGCCTATGGAAGAAATCTCTGGGTGTGGGTCCTGGGAATCGACAGGCATCCTAGATGATTCTTATAAATACTAAAATTTGAGAATGAGAGACCTACAGAATGAGATAGCCAAACTGGTTCTCAGCCATGGTTGCTTAGAGATATAAGTAAACAATACTGATCCCTATGTTGAGAGCTCTACTATCAAAGCTTTGTTTGTGGCCCACTCCCTTGCTTCTCCCCCTTTCCCTCCCTCCCTTCCCCTCTCCTTCCCTCACTTCTTTCCTCCCCACCTCCCATCTTCTCAGTTTTCTCCCCCATCCCCTTGACTCTCCCCTCCTGAAAAAATAAATAAATAAAGAAGCTTCGTTTGTTAGTTTTTTTGAGACAGAGTCTTGTTCTGTTGCCCAGGCTGGAGTGCCATCTCCACCTCCCCGGTTCAAGCAATTCTCATGCCTCAGCCTCCCAAGTAGCTGGGATTACAGGTGCCCGCAGCCACGCCCATCTAATTTTTTGTGTTATTACTAGGACAGGGTTTCATCATGTTGGCCAGGCTGGTCTCGAACTCCTGACCTCAGGTGACTGCCCTCTTTGGCCTCCCAAAGTGCCAGGATTACAGGCATGAGCTAACACACCCGGCCCTTTTTGTTTTGTTTTGTTTTTTTGAGACAGAGTCTTGCTCTGTCACCCAGGCTAGAGTGCAGTGGCACAATCATGGTTCACTGCAACCTCAACCTCCCTGGGTCAAGGGATCTTCCCACCTCAGCCTCTCAGTAGATGGGACTACAGGTGTGTGCTGTCATGCATATATATATATTAGAGACACTATGTTGCCCAGGCTGGTCTTAAACTTCTGGGCTCAAGTGATCTTCCCAACTTGGCCTCCCAAAGTGCTGGGATTACAGGCACTTGCCTCAAAGCTTTTGTTTATTTATTTATTTATTTACTTAGAGACCAGTTCTCACTGTCATCCAGGCTAGAGTGCAGTGGCACAATTATAGCAAACTTGACCTAGGCTCAGGCAATCCTGCATCAGTCTCTGCAGTTGCTGATACCACAGGTGCATGCCAGCATCCCTGGTTAATTTTAAAATTATTTCTAGAGATGGGAAATCTGGGCAACTATGTTGCCCACGCTGGTCTTGAACTTCTGGCCCCAAGTCATACTCTTGCTTCAAATTCTCAAAGTACTTAATATTATAGGTGTGAGTTGCTGTGACATTTAATTTAGGGAAGAGAGGGAGAGGAGAAAAAGGAGTGTAAAGGTGTTTAGTTTTTTTGTTTGTTTTTTGAAACGGCCTCACCCAGGCTGGAGTGCAGTGGCAGTGAATTCTACTCGCTGCAGCCTCCATTTCCCAGGTTCAAGTGATTCTCCCACCTCAGCATCCTGAGTAGCTGGGACTAGAAGCACCTGACACCATGCCTGGTTAATTTTTGTAGTTTTTGCTAGAGATGGGTTTTCACCATGTTGGTCAGGCTGGTCTCGAATTCCTGACCTCAAGTGATCTGCCTGCCTCAGCCTCCCAAAGTGCTGGGATTACAGGTGTGAGCCACTGCGTCTGGCCGCAAAGCTTTTAAATACTCACTTTCCTCCAAAGAATCAGAATAGTTGCTGTCCCCATTTTAGAGAATAAATGATTAAAGTGCATCAGGTAACTTTTCTGAGGCACTTTTCTTTATATGATACCAGGTATCCTATCCTAACTATGTGCTATGGTTTGAATATTCGTGTCCCCTCCAAAATTCATAGGTAGAAATTAATCAATCCCCCAATGTGATAGTGTTAGGAGGTGGAGCCTTTAAAAGGTAATTAAGTCCTGAGGGCAGAGCCCTGATGGACTAATGCCATAGAAAGGACCAACAGAAGGTTCATTGTCTCTTTTGCACTTCTGCCTTGTGAAGATGAAGCATTCCTACCTCCAGAGGATGTGGCTTTCCAGGCACCATCTTAAAATAAGAATCACCAAACCTGCTGGCACCTTGCTATTGGGCTTCCCAGCCTCCAGAACTGTGAGCCAATAGATTTCTATTTATAAATTAACCAGTCTCATGTGTTCTGTTAAAGCAGTAGGAACAGACAAGGATACTATGTATCCTCACTATACTTTAAAGAAAGGACTTAGTTGCTTTGTCCCAAGGAATCTTGTCATGATTTTGTACTGAAAACCTGTGAAGCCCAAAGCACTCACTTTGTGTATGAATAATGACCACAAAATGGGAATGCCTCCTTGGGACTCTTAACTGAACCCACTGTATCTCTCTTTGGAGACAGACTTGGGCCCTTGGTTTCTCTCTCCTCTCTCTCTCTCTCTTTTTTTTTTTTTTTTTTTTTTTTTTTTTGGTAGAGATGGAGGTCTCACTTTGTTGCCCAGGTTGGTTTTGAACTCTGCCTCAAGAATCCTCTTGACTCAGCCTCTCAAAGTGCTGGGATTACAAATATGAGCCACTGTGCCTGGTCGGCATTTCTTTCATACTTGCATGACTTTGAGCAATTTTTAAAATCTCTGTAAGCCCCAGTGTCCTCATCAATAAAACTGGATAAAACAGGCTACATGCAGTGGCTCATGCCTATAATCCTAGCACTTTGGGAGGCAGAGGTGGGTGGATCACTTGAAATCAGGAGTTCGAGATCAGCCTGACCAACATGGAGAAACCCTGTCTCTACTAAAAATACAAAAATTAGTTGGGCGTGCTGGCATGTGCCTGTAGTCCGAGCTATTCAGGAGGCTAAGGCAGGAGAATTGCTTGAACCCAGGAAGCAGAGGCTGTAGTGAGCTGAGATTGTACCACCGCACTCCAGCCTGGGCAACAGAGCAAGACTCTGTCTCAAAAACAAACAAACAAAAAAAACTGGATAAAATAAAGATATGTACTTCATAGTATTGTTGCGAGGATCACAGTAGATATCAAGCACTGAGCACAGGGCCCTATTAGGAAAACCAGGCGGTGGATGTTTCTCAATCCCACTCCTACCTCCATACCACCGCAATCCACACATATCTTCTGCAGTGAATCACAACAGCACAGAACCTATACTCTAGAGGGAGAAACACTTGCAATGCAAAAATGACAGCCAAATCCTTTGGTTCGTGAATATTTTGTGAATCTTTCTACATAGGTTTTTTTTTTTTTTTTGAGACAGAGTCTTACTCTGCACCCAGGCTGGAGTGCAGTGGTGCAATCTTGGCTCACTGCAACTTCCACCTCCCAGGTTCAAGTGATTCTCCTGCCTCAGCCTCCCAAGTAGCTGGGACTACAGGCATATACCACCACACCCAGCTAATTTTTGTATTTTTAGTAGAGACGGGGTTTCACCATGTTGCCCAGGATGGTCTTGATCTCCTGACCTCATGATCCAACTGCCTCAGCCTCCCAAAGTGCTGGGATTATAGGCTCCAGCCACCGTGCCCAACCCACACACCTACTTATTAGAGCAGGGGCTGGCAAACTTTCTGTTGAGAACCAGACAGTAAATATTTTAGATCTTTAGGTCCATGTGGTCTCTGCGACTACTTAATTCTGCAGTTGTAGCACAAAAGCAGCCACAGACAATATGTAAAGGAATGGGC